ATATATATATTGCAGTTTCGTGTTTTTCTCAAGCAGACACTTAAGCAGGCAGTTGTTTTAGGGACGTGACCTGTGCGGTTAGGAATTATGTTAATGTTTGGTCAAGCCTTTGTATTTCTAATTGTCAAAAGGAAAACTACTGAAGAACCATCCCATCAAGGTAGCTCTTTGGAGATTTTTTTCTTCTGATTTGAAACCTATCTCTGTGTACCTGTCTAAATGATAACATCTGCATGTTATCTTGAAATGTATCTCTTAAACTCTATACTTAACCCCTACTTAATATTTGTGGTAAACTCAGGAGAGGAAGGAGTTAAGTAACTTGCCTGAGGTGAGATGAATTTAGTGAAGTTTGGGTCCCGTAAAAAAAATTAAGCAGTCTGGTTAGCACAGGGCAACCCCAATGTGAAATGGGTCACCTGACTATGGCAACCCAAATGAGCTGTGTGCTTAAAAGGGGCTTATGAGGAGATTTGACTGCAGGCACATACAAAAAAGGGTAATAAAAGGTTTATTTGTGGCCCTCCCTGGTGGTGCAGCAGGTTAAAGCACAGCACTAAGAAGCTAAAGCCACTTCAGCATGACTTTGATCCCGGCCTGCTCCGGCCTGCTCCGGAGGTGACTACATGGCGCAGCAGACCCACCCACTTTGTCAATCTGCCTGTTCTGCTCCCCACTCTGTCTCTGGTGAATCCTCTCACCATCCCTGCACCTTTGGCCTGTCCCCCGTTCTGTATACACAAAAATCTTTTTTAAAAATTGTTTAAATAAAGGGTTTTTTTGCAAAAAGTAGAAATGAAGAGTGAACAACACAGGTGGAGAGATTGGTAAATGCGCCCCACCAGTTCCCCTGAACTGAGACCCCAAGAGCAAGCTGAAAGCCGGAAGAAAACCAACTGCAAGACCTATGTCTGGTTCTGTACCAAGACTGGCTGCTAACTCCACCCTCAGTTCCCGGAAAGCCTCCCTTCAAGGCGATGACGGTATGGATTTGCAGTGCTTGGATCTCTATGGTCTGGGGTGAAAATAGAACCCAAAAAACCTGAGTTTGTGGAGTTCATGCAAGACATCCATTGCCCCCACCATGCTTGCAGAGTCTGTGTTCTGCAGCACAAACTAAATGACAAGGATGGTAAAGTAGCTTAGACTGGTTACTGGATCATAAGTAACAGACTTTATATACACGTATGATATATATATATATATATACATATATATGTATGTATGTGTATATATATGTATATATATACATATATAATTTTCAGTAAGCGTTTTCATTGGATCTCCCCATATTCACAAGTGCATGTCTTCCAACTCTACTGATGGCTGTAGACCAAGATTCACAGTCAAACTCTATGAAGAACATCACTCACTGGCTTTGTTAGAATGTCCTAAAAGCTTCAGAGCTTTAAAAACAAATGAACAAAACATTGTTCAAAGGCAAGGACAGTTATGTTTGCTCACTTCTGGCCAAGGAGGTGAACAAAAATCTTTCACACCACGCACTGAAGTTTATTTCGCTTCACAGATCATACTGACCACAAAATTCACACGGCTGTGATTAGTGACACTTAAGGGCGGGGATTGATACATTCCATCTTTTTTTAACCACATGGGACGCGCGTAAGGGAGGAAAAGAGGGAGAAAGGCGAGGAGGGGAAGGGAGAGGAGAGGAAGAATGAAGGAGTAGGAGGTGATGAACTGAAATCATACACCCCTCTACTAGATACATTTAGAAGGTGAGCAAGAGGCCTTTCAGGGTCCTGCTAAACTCAATTTGGTTTTTTTCCGCTTATGGCGTCCTGATCGCATCAGAAATACACCAACTCTCTCCCGACTGGCCCTCTGCCCTTCCTAGCCCCCCAGTCCCGCCGGTCCCACTTCCCCGCGGTTCCGGCGGGGAACCAGTCTCCGCGCCGGCGCCGCGGGCCGTCAGGGAGGGGTCGCGAGCCGGGCGTTCCGCCCACGGAAGAGGAAGCGGAAGTCGGAGCAGGCCGAGAGGGCGTGAACCGGAAGTGCAAAGTCTCCAGCTTCTCCTCCGCCAGGCGGAACCAGCTCTTGGGCCCGGCGGCCGCGAAGAACTTTTTCCCTCCGCCCCAACGGTCGCCGCGGCCAAGTGCCTCGCCCGCCTGGCGGCCTCGCCCGCCTGCGCCCTCTCTGCGCCCGGTTCCGCGCGGCCCTGTCTGCTTCTCGCCCGGCGGCATCCGCTTGCTGCTGCCTCCGCCTCCTCGTCTTCTGCCCGGCCGACCGGCCCGCCGCCCGCCCGCTGCAGTGATGTGCGACAAGGAGTTCATGTGGGCCCTGAAAAACGGAGACTTGGACGAGGTGAAAGACTACGTGGCCAAGGTGAGCGGGCGAGAGTGGGCGTCGGCGGGAGCCCGCGGGCGGGGTGGGAGGAGGCGAGAGCCGGAGGGGC